CCACAAGCTAAAGTAGTGTTTCTTTGTTTAGAAGCTCCAAAACTGAAAACTCATAGGACTTTGGCCACACCCACAAAGCTATGAGAACCAATAAGAAGCTTGGTTAGCGTTTTTAGAGTCAAATATGACGAGATCTCGTGTGTATGATTTGGTATAAGAACTAGAACCGCAACCAGATCCCACAAGCTAAAGTAGTGTTTCTTTGTTTAGAAGCTCCAAAACTGAAAACTCATAGGACTTTGGCCACACCCACAAAGCTTTAAGAAGTAATAAGAAGCTTGGTTAGCGTTTTTAGAGTCAAATATGACGAGATCTTGTGTGTATGATTTGGTATAAGAACTAGAACCGCCACCGGATCCCACAAGCTAATGTAGTGTTTCCTTTTTCAGAAGCTCCAAAACTGAAAACTAATAGGACCTTGGCGGATCCCACAAAGCTTTGAGAAGCAATAAGAAGCTTGGTTAGCCTTTTTAGAGTCAAATATGACTAGATCTCGTGTGTATGATTTGGTATAAGAACTAGAACCGCCACCGGATCCCACAAGCTAAAGTAGTGTTTTTTTGTTTAGAAGCTCCATAATTTTAAATTTATCCTTAAATCCAAAAGATAGGATTCATATTTTGCTAGTATAATGTTATTCATGATTGATAGCTTTAGATGTGATTTAGTTTGGGTTTCAGTCCAAGTCTTTTTAGATTATTCTTAAACTTTCAAAATTCGAAACTCATTAATATAATATTAAAATCGTTCTACCACCTTTAAACTCCGGTAAACAAAATTGCATTGATTTTTTTTTTTTTTAATTCGATCGAAAAACACCATATTAACCGAAAGTTCTAGTTTTCTTAGCCAGATGCATATAGCAAACAAATCGACAATCATCTCGGTTTAGAATTAGTGATTTATGCGTTTGTCTCCGACGATAGGATTATCAATTTATCATGAGAGCTAAGCCTTATAGCGTTACAATTTACAACTTACAAGTAGTTGTATGTTTATGGCAACGAATCACGATTATTGAT